TTTATACCGGGTGTTTCAAACTGCGACCCTTTTAAGACAGGGTTGGAGTTAATGTTACTCTGACGAAATCTCTACCTGCTGTGGGTTTGTGGGCACAGTTCATGTCACAGCAGCGCACACGTGTAAACACTTGCGCAAAGGGAATGTGATGACAAGTGTATGAAAGTAATTCGCAAGCGATTTACGAAGCCGAGCATACAGCAAACCACTTTAGTCAGGTTTGGATGCGCCCGGCGCAACTACTGCAACGACAGTAACACGCAAAAGGTCTCTGCTGCGCACTGCGACACGGTCTGCGAGGGGTAGTTCTGACAGTTGGCGCTCTTAGGGTCTGCGAGGGGTAGTTCTGATAGTTGGCGAGGGGTCAACTCAGTCCACTGGCTGCGATAATTAACATTGGTCCAATCAATTTTGTAAACAGTTCACACACACGTGCAATGTTTTCTGTCTCGAGGCAGCCCAGCACCGCCAGGTATCGAGGGGACAGGCTGGGGGGCTGTAGTACAGTACTCGCTGGTCCGGGGAAATTTTAGGGTTACCCTTTCTGCACAGGGCGGGGAGCGAATCCACTCTAGATTTCATAGGGCGAAACAAAAGTGTACACTGAAAACGGAAGGGTATACTTTTACTTCAGTCTGAAAAATCAGACTAACACACACCGAGCACCCTGAAAAGCAGAGTAAACAAGGTGAATCACCCTATTAACATGTGCCCTGATTACCCCCACACACACAGCAACCTACAAAATTGGCCAAGTCCTAATTGTACAGACATTCCCCCTACACACCCCACAAAAACTAACAAATATCGGCTAAGTCCTATGGTAGACATTCCCCCTACACCCGCAACAACGCACAAATAATCGGCTAAGTCCTAGTAGCCAGAGTAGCACTCTCCTCAACAAAAAATTGTCTTAGTCCTCGTGTACAGACAAACATTCCCCCTCCCACACTCTCGCAGACATCCCCCTCGATGTCGATCCCCCCCTCACCTCCGTTTTGATCCTCGTGCCCCTTCGGTTTCGCCTCCCCGCTCAGTTTAGCCAAACTGATGTTTTCTAGCAGCATTGGTTCATTTCGGAATTCCCCCCAGGCCCCCAGTTCCCAAAAAAAAATCCACCAAATTTTGACGGTCACGATCGAACGCGATCGTTTCGACGTTTCTCAGCTGTTCATCGTTGGTCAGCCATTAACGGCTCAGATTTGCACGACCTGAGCTAGTTTTTTTGCTAGCTCAGACGATTTGGGCCCATCTGAAAAAACCCCTGTAAAACCAGAGCCGAGCCAAACATAACCCCGGCTTCCAGCAAGGCAGTTCTCGAATGTACCGGGCTTTGAGAGGTGTGGGGCGAGATTTGGGGGAGGGAATTGGGGAGGGCGGCGATTTTGGGCGGGGGCACACCTAACTAACAACCCACAAAAATTAGCTAAGTCTTGATAGGCAGTGATAGCACAAAAAGAAATCGGCTTAGTCCTATTGTACACAACTCTCCCCTCCCACACTCCCACAACCCATAAAAAAGGCTAACGGTCAAGTCATCAATATGAAGAAAATACCGTAGGTTTTGCAGCTGGCAATGTACCTAACCCTAAATTTCAAGGGTACTAGCGACAATGCCCCCCCCCCTTAAGGAAACTTTTGTTATTGCCCGTGTGGTCATCTGAAAGTCCATCAAACTTCGACGACCACGATCAATCACGAACGTTTCGACAATTTTCAGCCGTTGGATGATCGCGTATGATTAACGTACTCGATTCGCCCGTAGCGCTGCAAGTGCGGGATGTTTCTGCCACTGCCCCATTCGCCTCGATCCCCCCCTCTCCCATAGCGCGGCGCTACTTTCCCATAGTAAGCATTGTCATTACTGTTGGCAATTTGGACATTGGGCTCACTTTGTGACGACGTCTCACTTAGTCATGCAGGAATAACAAGCCAGTGTCAAGAATTTACGTCGTCGGCAACGTCGTTGGTGTGCCGCTGCTCTGTTTCTGTTCGTAATAGTGCGGGATTATGCGATACGGACTGGCATGCTGTATACGTTAATAGGTTGTTGGTGGCTTGCATATTTTTAAGTGATCATATTGGTAACCACTATGGTAGGAATCGTGTATATCGTTTGTAATGGTACATCAACTTTTATGAATAATATCATTTGATACAACAATGGTCAACAGAACAAGAACAATGGATGGCAAGATTGGAAAATTATTTGTATACAAATCACAAGCAACATCAAAATATGCATCGCAACGCATTTGACAAAACACTATATCGCATTCGAAACAACACCTCCCATCGTTTCCAAATGCTCGCGCGAAGTGTTTCGGCGAAAGTTGTCCAAGCAATGCAAAGTAGTCGAATCTAAATCCGCATGGCATTTCCACCCACTTGTTCGCAAAACGTTTGCAAAGCATCCGTACAGATACTTCGCGAACGTTTTGCGAGCACACCTTTTTTGTGACGCGAACCTTCCGTTTTCCCATTTACGTAGTTAAAGGTGGTCATAGGGGATTAGCACGGCTGCACAGGAGTTGTCTTGGATCGTAAATATTTTTACGCCAACAACTACAGCGTGTGCGCTAGCTTCTGCCCCGTCCTGACCGCCATGGCCCCGGTAGACTCGACAGTTGAGGGACAGTCTACCTCGACTGCTGCGAACCCTGCCCGGGAAACCGTGGACCTGCAAACATTGATGGAGCAGTTGGAGAATTTGACAAGCGTCGTCAACGACCTCCGCGACGAGAACCAGCTACTTCACCAGGCGCAGGAGAAGCGTTCAGAGGAGCCGGGCGATGATGCACGAAGCGAGGCGGGTGAGCAGCAACCGTCGCCAGTGGAGCTGGCACGACTAGCGGCAACAGCCCCGCGCTCGACAAGTGGTGGCGTAAGATATCAGCAACCCGCTCCTTTCGACCCAGCTAATAAAGGCGTGACAATGCGGCGATGGATATTTGCCATGAATATCTATTTCAATGCGGCGGGCATCAGAGACGATCAGAAGTGGATCAGCCATGCGTTAACACTGTTGCAAGGGGCCGCCCTACAGTGGTGGAAGGTCATCGTCGACTTAGCAGCAACTCGCATAGAAGGGCAGCACGAGCGGTCTGAAGACTTCGGCGACGAAGATGGGGCAGATCTGTTGTTCGAAGCGACCCACATTCGCACATGGGCAACGTGGTGCGCAGAGCTTTGCAAGCGGTTTGAGCATGCTCCTGACTCGGACAAAGCACGCCAAACTCTACGCATCTGGAAGCAGCTGGGATCTATGTCCAAGTACACCGCGTCATTCCTGACGTTGGTGGACAGATGTGGCTACATGCACGAGTTGGAGAAGGTCGACAGGTACATGGGCGGCTTGAAGCCTAAAATACAGTACCAGATAAAATTGCAACGCCCTGCGAAGCGGTTAGAAGACTACATCCAGCTTGCCGAAGCCGCTGATTCGATCACGAACTTCTACGACGGAGGTCACCCTCGAGAACAGTACCAGCGCGCCACGATAAAAGAGGTGGACGTGGTGGATATTTACGCAGTTGCTCCACAAAATACAGGGCTATGCTACCAGTGTGGCTGGTCGGGTCACATCCGACGCAACTGCCAAGAATTCATAGCCCTCCAGAATTCTATGGGGACGAAGCCGGAGGAGCAACCGGGAAATGGGTCGCGTCAGTAAGTACCGGGCCCCTTACTGACGGGCAGGCTTCTTCGCCCGAACCACACAGTCCCCACCAGGTCGTGATCCCGATTGCTGCAATCGACCGGACGCGGACGAATAAGGGGGACGAAACTGCTGATCACCCTTTGATGGTGGAGGGTATAATCAACCGGGTGCTGTTGAAGATTTTCGTTGATGGAGGCGCGATTCACAGTCTCATACAACTAGATAGGGCTAAGAAATTGGGTATACCCGTACTCAGGTGTCTACCCGAAATCGACGCCCGACTGGTGGACGGAACACCGCTAGCAATACAAGAACGAGTGGAGAACGTCGGTTTTACCTGTGGGGAGCATGTAAAATTTTGGATGGGACTGCTGGCGACTACTCTCGACGGATGCGACATGCTACTGGGACGTAATTGGTCGTGACGATACAACCCGAAGATTGATTGGACGACGGGCGGCTGCAGCATCAAGCTCGATGGAATTTCCCGCGAGCTGCCCAAGTGGACAGGGCCTCGCATGCAAAGCACCCAAGTCCATGCGATCACTTTCAAGCACGCGATGAAGGCTGGAGCTGCAGCGTACGCCATTGATCTTCGCGAGGTGACATCGACGGTCCAGACCGAAGATATCGAGAAGCTATGCAAGGCCGTCCCTACGGACTTAGGGGACTTGATTCAGAAATACCCAGAATTTTTTCCGGACGACCGGTCAGCTGGACTCCCGCCGAGCCGACCTGAGGACCACCGCATCGAGCTGGAACCCGGCGCCCAACCAACAGTACAGCGCCAATTTTGGCTCAGCCAACCAGAGCTGGAAGAATTACAGCAATAGTTGGATTACCTTCTCACGAAGGGAGTTATCCGGCCCAGTACGTCACCATATGCCGCCCCAATACTGTTCACGCCGAAGAAGGATGGAGGATTCAGAATGTGTATCGACTACCGCACGCTCAACTGGATCACCATCAAGTCACGTTACCCAATCCCGCGAGCCGACGAACTTCTCCACCAACTTCGCGGCACCAAGTTCTTTTCGAAAATCGACTCGCAACGAGGTTACCATCAGATTCGCATCGCCGTCGAAGATTGTCACAAGACGGCATTTCGAACCCGATACGATAGCTACGAGTACCTGGTGATGCCTTTTGGCCTCACGAACGCGCCCTCGACCTTCCAAGTGACAATGAATGGAATTTTCAGGGAACTTTTGGACAAATGCGTCATCATCTACCTCCACGATATACTATTCTTCAGCCACAGTAGGGAGCAGCACTTCCGCGATCTTGATGCAGATTTCACGCTGCTGCACAAAAACTGCCTCATCACCAAAGGGTCTAGTGCGATTTTCTTAAGCAAGAGTTGGAGTTTCTGGGCCACATCGTCTCTACTGAAGGAGTGAAAATCGACCCCAAGAAAATCAAGACCATACAGAAATGGAAGCCGCCAAGCAACATAAAGGAGCTGCAGAGTTTTTTGAGTTTCGTCAATTACGTCCGCAGGTTTATACCAAATATGGTTGGGATTTGTGGTCAGTTACCATAAACAGGTTACCTCGCAGGTACCATAAACGGGGCGCCAACAATATTGCCGATGCCCTGACCCGACCCACTGCCCATACAGCCGCCATACTAATCGCCCAGACCAGCCCACTCCTTACCGGAATATTTACCCATGGCTACAAGATCGACCCATTCTTCCACTCCGCCATTCACCAACAGCATACCAGTGCTACCGGACACTATTTTAATATACGCGACACTTCCCGCATCTAGGTTCCCGGCTATGATTTACTTCGTACCCTCCTAATCCAGGAATCTCACGACAATCCTACCTCCCGGCATTTCGGCGTCATCAAAACCATGAAGACGTTGCAGCGCAATTATTACTGGCCGAACATGGCCGACGACGTGCGCAAGTACGTGTCCTCCTGCACCGCCTGCCAAATCATGAAATCATCGCATCAGCGAGCAGCGGGACTCCTACAGCCGTTGGATCCGCCCGAGCGATCCTGGCAACACGTCACGATGGACTACGTGACAGGCCTGCCGGCCGGTCCCAGCGGAAACGACGCCATCCTCGTGGTCGTTGACTGACTCACGAAAATGATGCACTTCATCACCTGCCAACAGAAAATTACAGCTGAGAAAACTACCCAACTGTTCATCGCCAACGTCATCAGACTGCACGGCCTGCCCTCCGCCATTATTTCAGACCGAGACCCGAAATTCACATCGAATTTCTAGCGCCACCTGTGGGAACAATTCGGCACCAAACTACAGTTTTCCTTCGCCTACCACGCATAGACTGACGGGCAGACTGAACGAGTGAACTAAACCATGGAGCAACTCATTCGCACTACCTGCACTGACCCACAAACATGGGGAAATCCCTTCCGCTGCTGGAATTCGCGGATAATAACGCGCCTTATCGCCACAACCCATCAATCCCCAATTTTCCTAAATTACGGACAGGACCCTGTGGTACCCTCTACACCGAACATCGAGACACCCGTGCCCCGGTCCTAGCTATTTGCTGAAGACATCCTCGCAACCCACGAAAAAGCAGCTGAGGCAATCCAGAAAGCCAACCTGGTTGCAAGCCGACAAGCCGATCGTCATCGACGTGACGTCACATACAATGTGGGGGATTTCGTACCACTCGGCACTCGCAATTTGCGTCTGCCGATCCCGAGCAAACTCCGACCCCGATTATGTGGCCCTTTTTCAAGTGACCAATATGGTGACACCTATCACTGCTCACCTTCGACTACCGGCGGATTGGCGTCACCACCCGGTTTTCCATGTCAGCCTACTACGACCTTAGGTCCCCAGTTTGTCGGATTTGGCTCGCCAACGCATCGTACCGCAGCTGACGCCTCTGCAGGAACCGACGACCGAGCCCCTGAAGATTCTCGGCCATGGAGTCACCACACAGCAGAATCTACGAATGGTGGATTTTCTCGTCCGATGGCGCGATCGGACGCCTGAGGATGACAGCTGGGTGCCCCTCGCTGATATAGAATCACACCCGATTCTAACAGCGTATTATCAGCGTCGGAATGTTTCCGATGCCCACTGCCTCGTTTAGGAGGGGGGGTTAGTGTACGGAATTTCCATTCCTTACTGAGTCATACGCTAGCGCGCACACCAGAACTCCTCGACTCGTCACGTTCGTCCTCATTTGTCGGCCCAACCCTTCTCGAGTCCGGCACTGTCGCCACATTGTCGAACCTATCCACGTTCCGAGGTTATCGCCCTAGCATGTCAACCCCTATATAACCTCGTGCCTTCATTGCAATAGCAATGTTGTATTCTCACGTTATATTTCATTGACACTTCCTATATCATAACAATTCGCCCGAATCACGAAATGTGTAACGCACGTTTGAAAAACGTTTATGAAATAATTTACCTACACAAAGTAGTATTTCCTTATTTATAAACATGCCGTTTTTTTTTTCAAACATTGTTTTTCAATTGTTGCATGATGATTCAACTAGATAAATTGCAACAGAAAACATAATTACCGTTTATATTTAACCAAAAGATGAAATACCACTTAGTTGTCATTACTTGTAGTGTTTATCATGACAACGTTTTTCGAGAAGTATGAGATAGATCCTGAAATGTACCATCGATCTGCTGAGGACTTCAACTTGCTACGGGGAAATTGACGTTTGATTTTATGATGACAGCGGGATTTGAACCCGCGTCTTCATTGTGCAATGTATGAAGTCTTGTTAGTCTCAAAGTTGAACATCGCAATGCAATGTTGGCGAGAATTGAAATCGCGTCTACTCTGTGCTCTGTGCAAAGTATCTTTTGGGAGAGGGCTAAATCTGGGTCAGCAGGGTCGACATTTTCGGGATATTTTCGTTCGAAAATGTCCCCCAACTAGCCCGCATGTAACTTCTCGGCCAATCTGGGGACATCGTCACGGAGGGGTCACGTTTGGGACAGTCCCTTTTTGGTGATGTGGTTTAATTTCCAGCATAATATGATTGCACCTTGACACACTTTTTATTGCAGAAATGCACGAGACAGGGTTTGGTATAGGAAACAGATTGCGATGGAGGAGCCGTGTCTCTAACACTCCCCTCTCTGTAAAGTGGCTCCCTTTCCTTCGTGTTCTCTGATTCCGTGTCTTCAGCTAATACCACAGCTACTGCCATGATAGTTAGTGGAGACAACGGGTGGTGCTTGGATGTTAATCAAATGGTTGGCCTTCCAGTGAGTAGATTCACACTTCATAACGCGGTAAGAACTGGTGTATACTATACCAGGCCACGCTACTAACGGGTATATGCGTTTCTGTAATTGTCCCTGAACTGTACTAAATCTAGCCCTAGATTTGCCTCCATCTAGCCCACGATTGACCCTCACTTGTCCCCAAAATGGCCGGAAATTGTCCTTCAGCTGACCCAAGGATCCATTTTAAAAAATTGACCACATCATAGTCCCAAAATTGACCTTTTCCTACTATCCCAAATATAGCGTGAAGGTGTCCTTAGGACACTTGTGGGTCAGATTTAGGACAGATAATTATGGTGATGTAGCTTCTAGTCGACCTAAAAGGCAGGCCGTTTCATATGATGGATTCGCATGTGCGGACATGGCAAAAAGTTGGTTGAACAAGGGGCGGGTTGAGATAGGACAAGCTTTTTTTGGAGAGATTAAGATGTGAAGTTTGGTTGGACTATCTTCTATTCGTTTTCTTGATGTGAAATCCTCTAAATTGGTTTTTCAACATCTGATCATATATGGCAGGTTCATCCCGCATATGAACAACATTAGTTGTACACTGTATTGGTTGCAAGGTACTCTCTAGCAGGTTGCAAGGAATGGAGCCATTGCTCATGTAAAATTAGTGAGGACCTTTCGTTCACACCACTACTTTTCCATCCGCATCTTTCATAATGCAGGCCATAAGATGCAGCCAGCCAATACCTAGGGGGGCTGTCCTTTAGCTGGGCAATACTCGTGACACACCCTGCACTGCCTTCTTCTACACCCTCAATGTGAGACACACTGCCCCCTTAAAGCCCGAGTCCCAAACTGCGAGTGGCGGTTAAGCTGTTGAAAAAAAAACCCTATTGGATAAAGCGAATACAAAGTGTCATGATCACCCACTGGCCAAAGGCTATCGCTAGCCAATTTTTCTCCCCTCCGTACCAGAGTACTCTCCCCTAAAATATTTCGTGCGAATGCAAACCTCGTGCACCAATCATGTCAAACCCAACTTTCAGTTGCTGGCGAGTTAGTCCCAGAGACTTGCTCTGCCCTTCATCTCGAAACTTGAGTTTTAAGTTTCGGGTCTCAGATCATCGAACTACAATAATAATAATAAAAAAAAACTAGGCCTAATTTGACATGGACTGTGCTTTGAGTTACCCTGAAAAAAGGCATCAACCTGTGCCTCATTACAGACTGGAAGCAAGGCCTCGCTCCTCAAATCGACGGGTGTAATTGCTTTTGTAATGTGGGACACTGTGTGTCATTGTGTCATTTCCCTGCCAACCCTTACCCCCCTGATTCAATAAACACGCACCTTGGAGACGGGAAAAAAACGCGCATTAGGTTTGTCATAACTCTCGCACCCAATATTTTTTTTTGTGACATGACAAAGCCACCTACTTGTCATTGACTTAGGTTGAGAAATTAGGCAGTGGGGTTTTAATTCCAGGGTTGACACTATACATATCAACAACATCACATAGTTGTCAGCACCATTGACAAAACAAGAACTTCCGTTTCTGTGCCTTGCTTCAACACTCTAGGGTGACACGTGTTCATCCATATGCGCGCAGCTCGACTTTCTCCAACCCTATCTCACTACTCTCAATCCCAGCCTTGACTGCTCCATGCCCATCAAGCCGGGTCGCTCAGTGTCCCCGAGTGTAAGACTTATGGCGTGCTGACGCATGAAGACACGTGCGACCGACTGCTTAAAAGAACCACCAGGGAAGAGCTGTACCGCAACAACCCTGGCCTCACCTGCTCCCCCCTGCTCTGCCACTGCCATTGACAACAACATTGGCGTGCATGGGAGGGCTGTGGGGCAGGGCTTCTGTTTGGGAAGGGAAGAGGGGCAGCAGGTAGTTGTGAAGAACACACAGGAGAGGAGCAAGGAGCGCCCCGCCTTTAAGGGTAAAGGAGGTGGACGAAGGTAGTTGTGGGTACATGGGTACTTCGTAGGGCATCAAGGCTCATGTGCCATTTGAAACACCAGTAGGAGACACTGATATGCTCACCATAATATCCTTGCACAATGTTCGCAAGACTTTTGTCCGCGTCGCCCTTTCCCATATTCTGCATTTTCTTGTTAGTGTTCCTCTGTCAAGTGTGGTTTCTCCTACGCCCTAACCTTTTCATGCATGTCGTTAAATCATTTCATCATAGGTTTGCCTCAAAGCAGAGTACTGGCCGTTCAAACTGGGCATGTGCAAAAAAGGTAGGGTCAAGCCAGTCTCGCCATGGATGGTATGTTCAATGATGGTGGAGCTACGTCTACAGCAGTTTTAGTGTTCAATGACTAATCTTGCTCCGGAAAAATAGGATCCAAGTATATTTGTGTGCCGTAATTATTTCACCTTCCCGCTTAAAACTTGGATTTACTGTAGTAAATGTGGGTAGCATTGCTTGATATGGTACGGTATGGTTCTCCCCCAAATATGCACGATTTGGGGCCTTCAGAGGTGCCTTGCTTTAGGGGGAGGGGGGAAAGAGTGGGGGGGGGGGGGGGGGGGGGGGGGGATAAAACTGACCACATTGCTTTGGCCGCAACCCTCACGGCAGATAGTATTTCAACAAGTAGCGACGTTTTTATTTCGTAATTTATACGGACGATATTGGATCTCTGTTCTCGATTAGAAAAGCCATGTGAATCAATCTGGTTGGTGGTTCCTTTTTCATAATAACGAATTTCACTATAGAGGAATATATGGATAATGTACTGGGATACATATCTGCTTTGAATTGCACTTCACAATCATTTTGTGGGAGCAAGCCCAGCTGTGCCTAACCGCACAGTCCCGTGTTCGGAAACCCGATAGGATTCCGGATTAATTTGTGTTACCTGTTTTGAGAACCTCCCGCACAAGTTCGTTTCACTGAAAATTTTCGCAGAGTTCGGAACTGGTTAAGAATCCTAACCTAAACAGTAGATGTTCCACGCCATAAGTGCGGGGTGGTAGCAATTCTCGCTGGGCCAGTGCAGTACTGATCAGGGCTCACGCTAAGCTTTTTTGGAGCTCTGTTTCTCCCGGATTCCCCACCCCCCTGCACCCTGATTCGTCCGGATTTCAGGGTAGTTGATTTCTGTTTCATCCGGATTCGGGTACAAAGTTACTTTTAGCCGAGTTACAGTAAACATTGACTCGGACATGTCACGATGTTCAAGGTCGAAACAGGGTAACATTTGCGGCGTGCCAAAAAAATAGAGTACTTTTTTTTGATTTGCTACGTTAAGAGTGTTAATTTCTTCCGCCAGTTTTCTGACAAGCCCGCTAAAGTAGGGTAGAATCTGTGTCAGCAACCTTCACAACTTTCTGGGTTGCGAGAAGGGGAAAGAGGGGAACGTGGCTAAACGTTTTTAGCCAAGTCTGTAGGCGTGCGGGGCTGTAGGAGGAATTTGCCAGTCTGTGAGGGACGCCAAATATTCTAGGTTTAGGTTGGCCCGGGTGGGAGGAGTCTCTCTGTGTAAAGTTGTCAAGGTGTAAGGGAAACTTAGCCAAATTCTCTATGTTATAGAGTAAAGTCAGGAGTGTTCCTGCAATGAGGACTAGCCGAAATTTACAAGTTTCGTGGGTGTGGGTAGGAGGCCTATCTCTATTTGGGAGGGACTTAGCCGAGTTCCTCTATGGTCCAGGGAGGAATGTTCCTGGCTGTGACAAACTTAGCCGAAAATTCTGGGTTTCGGGTGGTGCGGGTGAGAGGAGTACGGTATGTCTGTGTGTGGGGGACTTCGCCATTTTTGCTTGGTTGAATTTTCTGAGTTGTGCAGGTGTGGGAGGAGTTATAACTGTGTGTGAGGGACTTAGCCGAATTTCCTGGGTTCGGGGGCTCCGTGCGATTGTTTCTGAAAGTTGGGGTCCCCGGATAGGGTTGAGCAAACTACCCGCCCGGGTCGGGTACTACTTCGCCGGTAAAATGTCTCTGCCACCCTGGGTGCGAGGAGGGGGGAAGGGGAGGGGGGGGGAGGGTATATTTATTGGCAGTTGCAGCCGGATTGCCCCCCCAGCGAATTCTGATCTGCCCGGAGCCCTACGTAAAGCTTCTATAAATTCCGGAAACCCCGATAACTCGACCCGTTCAAATTCCGGAACGAGCCCAGCGCCAACTCTGAATGTTTTTTCATTTAGGGTAATTATCCTTGAAAAATAGGCCCTGGTACTGATGTCGGAGTACAACCGCGCACTGTAACAAACTCGGATGAGTCATCCGTTCTTTAGGACCTCCTTTCAGTCCTCCATGGTCAACTCAGATGTTGCTCACTCAGCAGCGTTGATAATCTGGCTGCGCACTTTGCGGAATGCCGAGCAGCAATAATCGAGTGATGGTCAGCAATAATCATGACTAGAAATCATCCTGGGAGCAGAGTTGATGGGCTACGGGGCAACGCGCGTGATGACTTCAGCATCCCAAAATTCCAGGATCAGAAATACGGAGTAGGTATACAGTAGGTATGGCATAGGTACGTCTGCTACGGAGTAGCCTTGCTATACGAACAACTATACCTACAATATAGGAGAGGTCCACATTTTTGTGATGAGTGCAGCACCAGCATCATGTGCCCGCGATGGGCACCGCCTGTTCCGTAGCAATAATTCCGCTGGCCTGGACACTACTAGTAGCGCCTACTGCGTATCCGATGCGCCATCACAATTTTCCGAAGCAATAATTCCGCTAGCCTGGACACTAGTACTACTAGCGCCAACTATGGCAATAATTCTGCGGTGCGGCTCGGCCACCGCGCCGAGACCAGCGCGGCGGAACTTCTGCGCCGCTAGCGCCCGCCGCCGACGTGGGCTTTCCTTGCCCGGCTTTCCCTACAAGTAATCCTTTCCCACTGGGCCAGCCAACTTCATTCCCCAACCCTCTGCATTTTCAGCTTTGTTCTCTCGCAAGTCGCCCAGTCGGTTGCTCTTTCGATTGCCCACTGCCGCGTTCCAGACTTCAAGTCCGTGTTCATGGCGTGCGCATCATCCTATCACTACTACCACTACTAGTACTAGCACTACTAGCGCTGCTGTGAGCGAGCCTCATTCAGCCAGCCTTGAGCCTTAGCCTTGAGCCTTGAGCCTTGAGCGCAGTCGTCGCTGAGCTGCGGGAGCCTTGAACCGTCCTGCACTTCCACGTGTAGAGGTTGGCGCCACTGACTCGTCCACTCGCGGCATTCCCCCTCTGGGAGGCACATCCTCCCCTCGGCAAGCCACGGCGCGCTCTCACACCCGCCCTCGGCTTCGCCACGTCCGTCGAGCACTTAGTACTAGGAACGAGAGGAGTCAGCACCGGCGATTTGCAGCGGCTCCCCCTCGCAAGTTGGAGCGGCACCATGCTGCGCTCCAGCCTCACCTGGCCGATCTGGCCTCCCCTGGCGGCGGTGTGCCGCCCGGGACGGCGAATGGCGTGTGAGCGGGTGCAGCGCGCGCTGCCAGCGGCACTCGCGCTGTGCCTCGCCGCTGTCCTTGCCACCACGCCCCTCGCGATGGTCGGCGCCCAGCCGTTCGAGGCCTCGCAAGGTGAGAGACTCGCAAGGTGAGAGCCTCGCACGGTGAGAGCCTCGCAAGGTGAGAGCCTCGCACGGTGAGAGCCTCGCACGGTGAGAGCCTCGCCAACATAGTGTGTTGCAATGCAAGTAGATCAACGACATCAATACATTCGCTCCTCGCGGCCCCACTCTCCTCCCTGCTTCCAATCACACCCCTCCCCCCCCCCCTCCCTCCTCTCCCACCTCCGCCAACTCCCTCCCTGCCAACACCCCCTTATTCCTCCCTCCCTTTTCCTCCAATTGGCCCTTGTGTTAGGTAAGGGTAGGGTACAGGCATGGCAGCGGACAGCGTACAACAGGTGAGACCTAACAACCCAGGCTAGGGGACCTTAAGGGTCCCCCAGCACTGGCTCCCTTTCCCTCTCCCCATTCTCTCCCCCCTCCACCAACCCCCGCAGTGTAATTCCTCGAGGACTGCCGAGCCGCATGGGCGTCGACCTTCGATGGGTGGGACAGCCGCAATACCAACTGCAGCACAATTCTCGAGGCGCCTCAGAAAGAAACTCCTCTCCCCATTCTCTCCCCCCTCCCCCAAATCCCGCAGCGCAATTCCTTGAGGACTGCCGGAAGGCATGGTCGTCGACCTTCAGTGGGTGGGACGGCCGCAATACCAACTGCAACACTGCCATGGGCATCAAATGCGACAGAAGCGGGATGATCTTGCAGATGTGAGACAATTCTGTGCATTCACATCCGCGCATTCACAATTCTGTCCTAGAGCCCATGCAGTCCTCCTGTGCAGGGGGCCACCGCACGCTTCATGTTCTAGTAGTGGTTCCACCTACAATGCTGACACTTTTATTTCATACTAATGCTGGCTGATGGTAAACCATGTGGCGGCGTGTTTGGATGCAGATCTCCTCCAGCGAGTTACATGGCCTCTCTAGGAGGGCCCATTCCGAAATCCATCAGCAATCTCCGAAAGCTCACTTACCTGTAGGTCCTCTGCTGCAAGAAGCCTCTGGACTGTCTTCCGCCGCCCTTGTTCCCCTGCTTCCTGCTCCCACTTGCAATCTTGCAATTCTGGCCGCCATTTCCTGTTTGTTTTACGCGAATATGAAAGTTTCTGCCTCTGTCGATCTATGCGATTGACTGCTCGTTTTACGCGAGTATGAAAGTTTCTGCCTCCGTCGATCTCATGCGCGGTTCGTCATTGTTACAGCGACCTTCAAAGCCGATCTCTCACTGGCTCAATCCCCAACGAAATCGGCTCCCTTACAAACCTGGCACAGCTGTAAGGCCCCTGCTTTTGCTGTGCTTTCCTCTCCACCCTCTCTCCTTCGTTGGACGTTAGTCCAGTCTGGTTTCTCTGGCTCTGCTGCATTACTCAATCATTTCACAACCTCTTATCTTGCTTTCCTTTTGCCATTCCGAGTTTTACATGTTGTCTCGCCTCCTCAGAGCCTATTTTTTAATAGCTCCTTCTTTCTCCCCATTTTGTTTCTTTGTCGCCTCCTCACCTCTTCCATGCAACCTCTTCCATGCAACCTCTTCCATGCACTCCTCCGTGCTCCTCAATTCTTTGTGGAGACCTCCCTCCTCACCGCACACCTTACTGCTTCCGTGCACACCTTACCTTACCGCTTCCTGCACACCTTATCGCTTCCATGCACACCTTACAGCAGGCAAAGAAGACCTCCCCCCTCACCTCTTTCAGCCCACTCTATCCCCTCCTGTCGTTTGTGCATGTTCCAGGGACAATATCCATCACGCTCCCTTGTAATTGTTTGTTGCAATCGGAATGATGTCATCTCCGATCCAGTTGCTAGTATCTACTGTTCATTTTTTGTTGCTTGCGCAATTCGTGTATTTCATCACAGATATCTATATGACAATCATCTCACTGGTTCAATCCCCAGTGGAATTGGCAATCTAAAAAATCTAGAACTACTGTAAGGCCTCTGCTTTGTTGTGCTGTTCTTTCTTTCTCTGCCGCCCCTTTTTTCCCTTTTGATTATAGTCTTGACACATGCTCTCCATTGACCCCCCTTTTGATTTACTATTCTAGAGTGCACTTACCACCACCCTCTCCTTTCCTGTATTTTCTGCACCTTTACCCGTGTTGTTCGCCATCACAGGCAGCTCCGTAATAATCAACTAAACTTTATCCCCGATGCAGTCGGCAATTTAACAAATCTTCTTGCACTGTAAGCCATAGACATCGTCCTTGTATAGCAGTTGAAGGTTTTTTATCTACTGATGTAGTTGCTCCTGTCCACTGTTCCTTTCCACTAAAATCTGAACTCTCTACATTTTTCCATCGCATGCCTGATTCGTGTTAATCATTTCAGGTATCTTCAGGACAATCAATTCGCGGGATCAATCCCCAGTACAATCGTCTCTCTTGCAAAACTCCAAGTTCTGTAAGGCTTCTGCTCTGCTGTTCTCCCGTATCTGTACCTCTCTCCTCTCCACACACTGTCCTCCGGCTTTTCCGTTTTCTCCGCCCCTCTTAGTCCAAAAATCAGGCCCTCTCCACTGTAACTTGTTCAATTCTTGCTGTGCACGCCACTGGACTGGACTCGAGGCAATATGGAACAGTCAGAGAAACCGTAGATAGTGGATTTGAGGTGCACACGTGCCAAGCTGCAAGGCAGCTTCCACAAGTGGCAGTAGCGTAGAGCACAACGTTGGTTTTTAAGTCGACTCAAAAACCGCGTTTAATGAGTCTGATTTTGAGCTGACTCAAAAGCAGTAGCTAGTAGAGCTCAACGCTGGTTACCATTGGCTCATTGGCAGCACAATTATTTTGTCATTGTTCAATCTTCTCCTTTCCCCTGTATAAATCTCTATCATCGCCATCATTCCTCATCCCATCATCTTTTCTAGCTGGTCTGCATTGTCTACAGTTGTTATCTTCCCCCTCCCTTATTCTCACCTGTTCCTCTTTTCATGCCCTCGCCCCTCTGTCCCATCACCACGTATTCCTTGCTCTTGTCTGTGCGAGTTCTAGAGACAGTGTTTGTCACATGCTGTCTCTGTTCTGTTGCCTATTGTGCAGTTAGACTAGTGATTTGATTGAATCTAGCGCACGTTTTTTTTTTTTGTTTTTTTTTACCCACACAGGTATCTTGGAAACAACCAGCTCACTGGTTCGATTCCTGCAGTCGATTCTCTAACAGATTTGGAAACCCTGTAAGGCCACTGATTGTTGCGCTTTCCTATCTCTGCCTCTCCTCTCCTCGTCTCCTGCATCTTTTCATGACCTCTTCTGACCTCTTCTGACCTCTTCTGACCTCTTCCGACCTCTTCCGACCTCTTCCGGCCTCTTCCGACCTCTTCTGACCTCTTCCGACCTCTTCTGACCTCTTCTGACCTCTTCTGACCTCTTCTGAATTCTCCATCAAGCACTCTCCAATTCAACTAGCCACCAACGTGACGTCTCCATCCATGCATGTACATGTGCACTTCGCGCTCTGCAACTAGATCCGTCCAGTTCGTAGTATTCTAGGTTATTCATGTGAAGTCCCTCTCTACCAATCGCATGCCTGATCCGTGTTTATCGTTACAGGGATCTCTATATGAACCAACTTACTGGCTCCATTTTCAGCACAATTGGCTCTCTGAAAAAGCTGGAATACCTGTAAGACCTCTCTGCTTTATTGTGCTAGCTTTTCTCTGCCCCCTACTCTCCATCCTCTCTCCTCCTTGTGATGCCAGTCCTGTCCTGACCGGGTGACCCCTGCTCTCTATAGCCCCTCTTACTGAAGTCTATTTACCACCACCAACTCCATCGCTGTACTTAGTGTACTCCATACTATAAGCGTGCACCGCACAAGGGAGACAAGGGCTCTAATGTGGCTTCATGGCTTTTATGTGCTAGATTTGTTGTTCGTTCCGTTCATGGACTCATTCGGTTTTAAATGGTAAGATTTAAGGAATTTGAGGTATCTGAAACAAGATTCCCGTCATCATCCAGTCCATGTCCAACTCCACCACTCTCAACTCCACCACTCTCAACTCCACCACTCTCAACTCCACCACTCTCAACTCCACCACTCTCAACTCCACCACTCTCAACTCCACCACTCTCAACTCCACCACTCTCAACTCCACCACTCTCAACTCCACCACTCTCAACTCCACCACTCTCAACTCCACCACTCTCAACTCCACCACTCTCAACTCCACCACTCTCAACTCCACCACTCTCAACTCCACCACTCTCAACTCCACCACTCTCAACTCCACCACTCTCAACTCCACCACTCTCAACTCCACCACTCTCAGCTTCCGTCCTATTCCTGCCTTTTAACACCATGGGTTTTTTTTCTCCCACTGTTTTCCTCATCCCCAAATTCCTTTCCTTTCACCTAACAGGAATCTCAGAAACAATCAACTCTCTGGCCCCATCCCTGATAGCATTGGCACATTGACAGCAATGAAACAACTGTAAGACCTTTCGCGGGCCATTTTCTTCTCGCAGCGGTGCTCGCATTCAGGGTGACCCGTGTGCTTCCCAGTGTGATACGAGAGTGTCCAAGTAGATTGGAGGGATAACGTTATGAAGGATGGGCAACAGGACTAAAGTAGTTAGATAGAATGGTCTCTTCCTGTCTGCTACTTTTTCCCCTGTCTGTTCTATATCCTTCTCTTTCTCTTGCTATTTTCCTTCTTTACCGCTCTCTCGCATATCCGTACACGGGTATCTTAATCTGGGGGGTTTGTCCTCTGAGTTTATGCTTTAATCCGTTTATGCACCCAAGCTACACGACTACCTTCAATTCTGTTTCTCATTGGAGATACTTAAAGGCGTTATACTATCTTTCAACCTGGTAGCCCTGTAAGACCTACAATTCATTTCCACTCGACCTTGAACTCCCTGCTTTTATCACATTCCTGCTCTTTACATGTACAGAAGCCTCGAAGTCAATCAGCTCACCGGCTCAATTCCCACTACTATCGGTTCTTTTAAAGAGATCGAAGCTCTGTAAGCCCCCCTCGCTTTGCTGATCTCTTCTTTCAAGGTTTTCCTTCGGCAATCTCAATTGGCGGTCGATGTTCTCATAGCGGTGGCAAGACTCTGGTCTCTTCAATTCGGTATAATCCTTAAAGCCAGGGTCTCATAATTCCAACTATTTAACACTTGGCTGGGGAAGACACTCGGTGATTTGTTTCGACAAACTTCCCAAACGAAATCCTGGTTCGGGCAAAGTTGGCTCGGCTTTGGTTTCCGCACCGAGCCAGTCACACTTCGGAAATCCAACGGCGGACAATCCGATTTTTTTGCTCTCACTTTCTACTTCGCAAACCTAGTGGCCGTGAAATTCAGGGTAAAGGGGTGATTTTGCCACATCCGGATCTTCTGCAAGGCTGCACGATTTCCAGCAGCTTGTCAAGTGTGACATCCCTGCGGCTAGTTGGGATGGAATTAGCAGGGCTTAATGCCTCCATCCCTGCTATAAGTGGCTCGTTAGAATTATTGGAGGTAGTGTGTGCATATTGCTTATCCTCTTCATTCAACCAATCTCTTCTTGCTGTCTCTTCTTCTGCTCGCCATCTCTCCTCCTGTCCCATCTACTCTGTTTGTGTTCCCTGCTCCATTTTCTCGCATTTCCTTTACGTCCCTCTTCTCTCCTCGTGTCCTTGTTTGCTCATTGGCTGAGAGCACATTCAAGAAGCCTTTTAAAATGCTGGTGCTACTATGCCTTTGTTTCTCCTTGCCACTTCTCGTGAGCTGACTTTCGGTTGACTGGCAGCTGTGTAAGGCCTCTGGTTGGAGATTTAAACGTCGTCTCATTTTTTTTTCTTGCCACAGAAGTCTTCGCAGAAATCTGCTCACTGGCTCAGTCCCTGTTGGAATCAGCTCATTCTCAATAATCAAATACCTGTAAGGCCTCTGCTTTGTTGTTCTGCGATCTCTGCCTCCCTTCTCCACTCTTTATCCTCTTGAATCTTCTTATTTCACTTTAATCCTACCCTCTCCACTCAACCGTCCTCTCATTTCTTCTCTCATGGCCAGTCCACAGACCACACCTGCCAGCACCAAGTCGAGTGTTATTTTGGGTTTTAGATTCATTGCTGTCATGTTAGATTGTCGTTTTTGGCGCATATTTACCCTTTCTGTTCAAATAAATCTTCCTCCATTGACTCTTCAGCTCTTCATCTCTCCTCTTGTCTCATCTAATCTGCTATGTTCCCTCTTTTTACTCCCTCTCTGCTCCTTTTCATTTGCACTCTTTGGCTGTCAGCAAGGTAGTTTAGAAGCTCCCAGTGCTGCTATGCCTTCAATTTTTCTCAACTCCATGGACCTTATTTCTTGGCACTTTCCATGTGTGGACTTGTGATTGACTGCCTGCTCACTTGATGACTAAAGCCTTGGTCATTCATTGCCTGCTACACCTTTCTCCATGTGGATGTGGGCTCCTCTCTTCTCTTGACACTGTATGCCTTGCCAGGTTTCTTGAGGAGAACAAGCTGGAAGGTGACCTACCAAAAGGAATCTTCAACCTCGTGTCGCTGCAGAAGCTGTAAGAAGCAAACCCCCATCCTCCTCACTCCTTGCCCATCCTCACTCCTTGCCCATCCTCACTAAGCCTGTAAATACAATATTCGATATTCGGCAAATACCCAAAGACAAAACGAATTCGAATAGGCTGTTTATTCGGAGGTATTCGCGGGGTCAAATATTCGTCTCGGACGAATATTCGTTTGGGTTATTCACAAAGTATTCGTTTCGAAATGGCATCATATATCGCCCTGTTGTTTAGCGGGGGGCAAGGGGAAACGCCCGATACTGAAGAAATCAGTCGTCAGAATTCAGGGTGGTGCTAAAGTAGCCGTAGGTTAACGACATAAAAGGTTCATAGCCCGAGTATTCGAGACACATTTGTATTCGTCTCGTCTTCGCCTCGCCAGTATTCGACTCGAATTCGTATTCGACGGGGAAGAAACTATTCGGCAAAATACAAATTCAGCTTCTATTCGCAATTATTCGGAAAAAAATATTCGAACTCGAATTCGTATTCGATTTTACAGGCTTAATCCTCACTCCTTGCCCATCCTCACTCCTTACCCATCTGTGGCATTGCCTGCAATTGCCCCTCAAGTGGTGTTGTTCATTGCTCATGAAATTAAGTCTTCTTCTACATAGCGCTTCTTTACATGCACTAGCTGCTGAATACGGCTTGGATGATTACTCGTAGAGCTAGATTGTTTTCTAGAAACGGGATACGTTGATTTCGTGGCTCATGCATGGCTCGCTCGTATGAGAGTCTAGTTTTGAGGCGCCTCAAAACTAGACTACTAGAGACGGGTTTCACTTAGCGGTGGCTCATGGCTCAGAGCGGTGGCTCATGGTTCGCATCGCATAGGTACCAGCATGTGTCATGTTGTACATAGCAGAGTGAATTTGAATATCGTGCACTGCTACTCTCTGCAACATGACGTTTGAAGACTGAAATGCACTTTCATTATTGTCTTCATGCGTCTTCTTTCTATCTTCTGTAGGGGGCTCCAAGGTAACCGTTTTGGCGGATCGATTCCCAATGCAATTACCAGACTTACTACTTTATCCTACCTGTAAGTCGGCACACCTTTGCACGATAAGGGCTGGATAGTTCTGTAAAATGGCACACCACTCGACGACTAGTCACATTCAAGCAAATCTGCTGCAGCAGCATACCTCACTGTGAAGTACTCCACAACACATACTACACCATATCCCACGTTAGTGTAGCAACACCCTACGTCCACACCTCCCCGTACTTGCAAACCCTTCGGTTCTTCGAGTGTTACAACTTACAACTAACACATGCGATGTATCCCCCTGGGAGTCTTTTAAGCTTCCTTTATATCTTCATCCCTCACTCGCTCCCTGTCTAACTCGTCATGATTTCGAATATTGGTTCTCTCAAACGGAACACCTGATTGACCCCTATTAGAACCACAATACACACCAGCATTGAGGCGTTCGTGATACCTTGATTGACGATATTCCACCCTCCCTCTCTAACTGCGCCCTCCCTCTCTAACTCCGACCTTCCTCCTTCTTGACCATCAGGACACTCTCATTCAACCAGCTGTATGGAAGCATACCCGCTGCACTCACCGGAATGACAAAGCTGACAGAGTGGTACGAGTCACAACACACCATGTAACTCTGCAAGAAGCACTCACAATCTTGAATGTCACACTCTTGATTGTCACGAATGTTCACACACCCGCAGTTGTTGCATCGTGAATCAAAGAATACTATACAGGTCGTTGAAAGGAAATAGTTAGCCCTCTGCTGCTTAATCCCCCCGCTAAGTTTGCTACCCCCCCTCCCCACACCACGGCCCACACCTCCTATTCGCTCGCCCCTTCTTCCTGGCAGTGATCTCTCGCACAACTACCTCACGGGCCCCCTTGTGAAGCTTCCACTGGTCCAAGTGAAGCTTTCACACAACTACTTGTCGGGTCTTTTGCTGAACTCAGACTGCACCCAGCCTCAAACCCTCATTGCCAACTGCTTCACTCTGCCCGAGGGCTGCAGCTCCTCGGTACAGCGGCCTGCAGCGGAGTGCCTGGCATTCTGTGGCGTCTCCAACACCACTGCTGCTTGCGGCGGTCATGGCACGTGCTACCCGGACGGACCCAGCTTCGCGCCCACGTGCTTGTGTGAACCTGGATTTTTGCAGCTCGGAACAATCAACTGTGCTTCCCCTGGTAATGGGTTGGGGCACTTACCACACTGTGAACATATTGCATAGGCATAGGCAGGCACGCACCACAAGTATGGGATGGATGGACATCACACTCAAAGTGCGCCTTGCCCTCTTGCCCGTCTTTCACTTCGATGCCGTTTTTGCCGTTCTACTTGCCCTCTTGCCCCTCTACTTCCTCGTGCACATTTCGAGCCGGAAGCTTTTTCGGCTTGGCACCACATTTCACCCATCTCACCAACCATGCCCTCTGTTCCTTCTTGCTCCTGCATTCTTTCCCACACATAGATCTGGAAGCTTGACCAATGCACGATGCATGCGCATGTGTTTACCTGAACTATGCATGCCACCCTCAAAGAACCAACCATATGATTTTGCTCAGCCATCTCAGCAGACACCATTGCCACTCACTCACACCCTCCCTATGCTGCATTGCCACCCATCGCATCTATTCAGGATGGAACCAAAGCTTCGACGGGCCTATTCTCCCCCCGAGCACTGTGCTCACCAACGGGACGCAGCAGGAGACAGCGGGGAAGTTCATGGCAAAGCCGGTGACCCTGTTTGCATACCCGGCTGGTCCGAGCCCGGGCTGTGGCGTGGAGCTGGCTTTCAGTGCCAACTTCACCTTCTCCCTTACCCCCAAGTCTGGCACGGTCGCTACCAATGGCTTCGCGTTTGTGATAATGGCAAAGGCCCAGGTTGGAAGCGGTCGTGTAGGGTTTGCTGGAGTGGGAAACCGGAGTATTGCCGTTGTGTTTGACACGCAGTACAGCATGTTCAAGTTCGAGTCGTATGTGGGGCTGAATGTAGACGGCAACGACACACCATTGGTCAAGAAGGCATCAGTGTTCAGACTCGTCAACGGCAGCATCTACACGGCGTGGGTGGACTACCAGCCTGAGGGTTCCGGGACCATTCAGGTGTTCCTGGCTGCTTCGGCGGAGAAGCCAGCAGAGCCTCTACTGCAGTGGAGTGTGGCGTTGTGTGAGGTGCTGCAGGCTAGCGCAAAGCAGCAGGCGTTCTTCTTTGGCTTCGTGGCATCCACCACATTCACATGGAACCCCTTTCTGAAGACCGTCATTCGCAGCTCTGCCGTGCGAACGGGTAAGCAGCTCTGCCGTGCAGACAGGTGAGGATATGTCGAATCAGGTGATGGTGAAGGCGAAGGTTGTTGAAAGAATGAGAGGATCCGAGGTGAAGGGGTGGTGATGGCGGTGGTGTTGCTGTTTTTGCAGTAGTGGTGGATATGAGGACGAATGTAAATGCTGGACGACACGGATGATGGCAACACTAACACTTCTGTGGAAAGTGGTACTGGTTTGATTTGAGGTGTTCTGCCGGGCCGGTGCCGGTGCCGGGCAATGATGCTGATGGCATCAGCCATTGCCAGGGGATAGTGGTGGAGATGCAGGTGACTGCTTTTGAGTCGACTCAACACAACAGCAGACTCGTTACAGGCGGTTTTTACGTACTTGTTAGGGGATAGTGATGATAGAGGTGACTATTGGTAGCCAGGTAATGTGATCTTGCCTTCGCCAGTCAGTCATGGGGTGCTCTAATGGGCTCACGACTCAGCCTTCACTTTGTGCCTTGTGTTGCTGTCTTTCTTCCTGTGTGATTCCTCACAGGCATTCCTCCACCCAAGAAAGTCGTGATCGGAAATGAAGGTGAGCTCTCTGCCGTGTGGCAATGGAACGGACAGTGGAGGTTGTTAGTTTCAAGTTTATGTTTGTTCGAGGTTTGAGGTTGTTAGAGGTGGTTGAAGGTTTGAGATTTTTAGAGGTTGTTCGTGTTTTTATGAAGTCTTGAGGCTGTTTGAGGTTTTCAGTCTGAAAACGGAGGTGAAGACGACCTTCACGACATAAATGTCTGATAGTGGAAAAAAAAAAAAAAAAAAAAAAAAAAAAACAAAGAAAGATCCCTGTGAATTCGACTTGTCAAGTTGAAACTGATTTTTCCCATTTCTCTGCAACGACTGGCACGTCTCACAAAAACTTCTAAATTGGATTGAAAAAAGGCTACTACTTGAAACTGGGATACAATAGGAATGTGGCACTCAATTTTCATCCTTCCCTTCTTCACAATTCTCTTCGCCCGCCCCATCTCGCCCCTCTCAGCTCTTGGCCTCTCGATATCTACAGCCACTTTCGCACCTTCTGGAGCCAGCCCCTTTTCGCGTTATGTGAGCGCGGGTTACAGCCTGTCAAACAAAATGGAGGACTCGTGGCTCATTCGTGACGAGCAAACCTGGGACTCCGTGCCCTTTCTTGGATGGCCCGTCAAGAACCAGGGCACCTGCAGTGAGTGGAAGGAGGATGGCAGGTTTAAGGGCATGTGGTTGTAATGCAATGTCTTTATCAGTTTTTGCTGTTTTCCTGTCCCTTACGCCGTTGTTTTGTTATCGACTGGATCGCGTGGCTCGTTTCTGTTTTCCACAATGCTGCAACTGCCTCCGTCCCTAAATGTTTTCTGACCTTCACTCCACGCATCACATTTCTCTTATCAACTTCTCAGGTGCCTGCTGGGCTTATGCGGTGGTGGCAAGTGTGGAGGCAGCGTACGGCATTGCAACTCAGCAGACGGCTCCCCTGCTGTCAGTGGAGCCACTCTTTGCAGCCATGGGACTCACACAAGCCAACAAGTGCACAGCCGGAGGATCTCCCACCGTGGCCTTTGAGAAGCTGATTACTCTTCCTGCCGGCACTGGACTCACAGGGGGCACTCAATCGGTAGGGCAAACAGAATGAGGATTTGACAAGTGAGGTGAGACAGAGTTGTGAGAGGTGCATCGATGTAAGGGTTGAGGAGGGTGGGATAATTTCACAATGCTTGATGGTGGCTTGCCCTTTCAAGTCCTTCAAACCAACGTGTTGCCCTCAATTTTTTTAATGGAATTTGTGTTTCAGGTGCTGCTTGGTTGGTTGGTGATTCACTGAGGTGTCTCTTGCTATTAAATCCATTAATTGGCAATATTAAATCCATTTTTTATTAATTCCATTCATTCTTTTTGTTCCTTCCAAACATGGCGCGAACCATCTCCCCTTCCACCCATTCTTTTTCAAGTGTGCAAACACTCGTGCAAGCGTATGTCCCCTTTCCAACTCTCATGCGACTATTGTGGTCTCAGGCAAAATGGTATCCGGTGCAGGCGTTTGAGCGCACACGATTCAAGGGGTATGTGGGGCTCATGCTGGCAGTGCAGCACCAGCCAGTGGTCGTTCACATTGAGGCTTCTGCTCCCACGTTTCGCGACCATAATGGCGTGAGTCATATTAGCCTGCATAGAGATAGCTCTCACACACAACAACGTATATGCTTTAAAAAATAACCTGCCTGCATTGTGGAGAGAGATATAGCCCATTTATTTTCCAAGTTAGTCATATCATTTACAGTATTTCACTGTAATCACTGGAGTCCCTGTCTTGATGCATGTGCTGTCCCCCTTCTGCTTCAGACATTTAAGTACATGGACGCAGGCTGCTACACTGGCAATCTGAACCATGTCGTACTCGTTATTGGCTACTCCGTTATAGTTAGCGATGCCAGCCAGATTGGTCCTCCGTTTTGGATCATCCGCAACTCGTGGGGAGATCGGTGGGGCGACAAGGGCCATATGCGCATGGACATCCAGGGAGGCAATGGCGTGTGCGGCATCAACGTGCTGCCTGGCATCTACCCCGTTATCAAGAGTGAGCCATCTACCCCATTGCCAAGAGTAGGGCATCTACCCCATATGCAAAGATACCACAGTGCTCATTGAGACGTGACTTGCTCATTGCTCATTGCGCTCAATTGTCATGTGTTCAAGTGTTTCCTTTCTCTGACCTTTCAGTTCCAGCGGACCTATGAGAACACAGCAGCTATCAGTTTCAATTGTTCCCTTTGTTTTCTCCACGTTTTACATCGTGTTTATGTCCGACTTCCACTGTCACGCATTCCAAATCCGTTCTCCTTGTTCCGTGTCGTCTACCCGTTTTTCCAGTTCTAGGCGAGGTGACTTTTGAGTGTAACTCAAGAGCCAAATCCGTTCTCCTTGTTCCAACACAGCAACTGTTCCCTCCGTCCCCAATTGTTCCTTGTTCTTCATGCTCCGTGTTGTCTTCCCATTCTTCCAGTTCCAGAAGACCCGTGCAGCCAAAGCAGCTATCAGTTTGATCTGGAGCCGCAGCCCAGCATGAACCCGTGTGGACGGTTCCCCTGCCAGGCGCTTACAGGTGGCGGCAACAAGTGCAGCTGCAGCATTTCCAAAGCTACCACTCAGCCGTTTGTCGAGGTTGGGAATGGAAACGGCTCCAACACATGTGCTTATGGTAAGACCGCATGCACGATGCACATCTTCGTTTTAGATTCGAAGTGTGCCCTTAATCTTGTGCATATAGAAACGCCAAGGTTCCTTCACTTGGCATCCAGCTTGTACCTCTTTGCAGCCTGTCTGGAGAAGCTTATATGACAGGCAACGGGAGAGGCTCTCTTTCTTCCATGGCTCTCTTTCCCCCATGGCTCTCTTGCCCCCATATCCCTCTCTCAACTCCATTTTCCCTACTATCTCCAATCTCTCTTTTCTACCCACCACCCTGGTACGATTGTGGCAGTGCAAGTATGCCAGTCGTACTTCAGCAACCCCTGCTCCACGGGCACATGCATCAACGACGGGAGGGGCTCCTACTCCTGCATCTGCCCTCCCAACTACGTCCAAAGCACAACTGAATACAACACCCCTACTTGCGACCCAGGTGCTACGGTTGTCCTTTCCTAGCGACTTTAGATGTTTCAGTGTCTCCTATTTGAAGCCGCTCACGTGTTGGTTAGTAAGATTTCGCAGCACCCAACCTTACTCCCCTCCCTTCCTGTTTCTGGATGCCCCTCTCTCTCATTCTTTTTGTCTTCAGTCAATACCACAGCCACCACCATGACAGTCAGTGGAGACAAATGGAGGTGTTCGGATGTTTATCAGCTGGTTGGCCTCTCTTTGGATCAATTCAAGCTTCAGAACAAGGTAAGGATTGGTTGAAAATGGGATTGGGAAAAAAGGGGGAGAGATTATGTTGGACAAAGAGGAATGGGGGTTTTGAGCGAAGTCCATTGAGCTTTTTATGTGACTACAAAAAACCACCAGATCTCAAGTCAGCTGCGGGTGTACTTTTTGTTTTCTCTTTTCCTGTAAAATCTCACTACAAATTTCTTGCTCGAATCTCATTCAGTACTTGTATCAACCTCCCATTACTTCATGGGTTTCTGTACTGGTATAAGATCTTTAGGACCTCCCATTACTTTAGAAATACCGGGAACGGGTTTACTGTGTCCTTCACGGGTTTCTGTTCTGGTATAAGATCTCCAGCACCCTGAACCGAAAGGAGGGGTTCCCTTTCTCATGCAAGCGTCTCGTTCCCATCACCGCTTTTTCATTCTTATGCTCCTCACAGGCCGTAGATTGCACCCAACCGTTGACCAAGGGCAGTGTCCTTCAGCTGAATGGAACTCCCACCACACCCTGCACTGCCTTCTTCTACTCCCTCAATGTGAGATATGGTGCCCTCTTTACTGGGCGGCACACTGCACGTTGACCTGCCTATGCAAGCCAGCAACAAGCGCGCTAGATAGCATTTTTTATTGTTTTCACATTGATGTTCTGAACGCCTGTGGGCAAGCAACGAGCGCACCGTCCCTGCCATTGTTCATCCCTCCAGGGGGACAACTGTGCGTCCATTGGCGTGAAGCTCAAATTTGATGTGAGCCGTCTTACCAGTCTCAACCCCGGCCTTGACTGCTCCGGAGTCATCCAGGCGGGCGGCTCGGTGTGCGTCGAGCGCAATGCTGCCTTGGCCTACATGGTTCCCGTGTGCACGTCATCCGGCGTGCTGACACGTGAAGACACGTGCGACCGGCTGCTTCAGAGGACCACCACGGCTGAGCTGTACCGCAACAACCCCGGCCTCACCTGCTCCCCCAACATCCCTTCCTCTGCCTCTGCTGTTGGCAGCAAGATAGGCGTGGAGGTGAGGGCTGTGGGGCATGGCTTTTGTTCAGGAGGGGAAGGGAGGGGGAGGGGGAGGGATTTGGGAGAGCAAGAGACACACGAGAGCACGGAGGTGGAGACAAGTGTTGTTTGTGGTACATGAATAAGTCATGGGACGTCAGAGCTCATCTGCCAGTTAGGACATTAAATTCCTTGGATCATTCCCTTGCATCATCCCCCATATTTCCGCATCGCCCAATTCCTAATTCTTCACCTCTCGTCGATCTTCACTTGTCCAGTGTGGTTTCTCTCCTCCCCCCAAATGACTCCTTTGCACTTCCCTCACGTCCATCTTGCTATTCCAGGTTTGCCTGAGTGCAACGTATTGGCCATTCAAAGAGGGCCTTTGCACAAAGGGAAGGATGAAGAACGTCAAACCATCACTGGCGTGTTCAGCTGCTTACCGCTTCTACGATGGGTCAATCGCAAAATTTGCTGACTACAATCGTGGCAAACGCTGTTCTGAGAACATCGGATCCACCAATTATCTTTGTGTGCCTTGATAACTTTTGGATGGTTCCTAAGACATCTCTAGACATCTGTGAGCACTTGTTTTATGCATAACTCTATGCTAGGTTTTCGTTCCTTCTTGATAAGCCCCTATGAGTGTTACCGTCATCCCCCGGTTATAGGCGCATAGTACACTTGGAGCATTGTGCTCAAGGCCCTTGGCTAAAACTACAAAGTTGGGGGTCACTTGAAACTCGTATTTTTTCTTTCAGCCCGAAAAGCTTTCCTTCTTTTTGTAGTGCAAATCAGGGATGACGTTTAAAATGAAACCACCCTGAGCTGTCGACTAGGGGGGGAAAAAAAAAACCTGAGGCTCTGTTTTGGAAAAATCCATACCCTGATCTATCAGTGTTCAGAAAACCAAAACCCTGAAATTCCCAGGGTTCACAGAACACAATCAGGGTCGAATTCAATACCAGTCGAGAATTTCCTGAAATTTGAATTCCCACCAAACACTTCCAATCCCCTTTTTTTATGGCCCCAACTTTTGCCCCCGCCCAAACTCGCCGCCCTCCCCAACTCCCTCCCCCAAACCTCGCCCCACACCTCTCAAAGCCCGGTACATTCGAGAGCTGCCTTGCTGGAAGCCGTGGTTATGTTTGGCTCGGCTCTGGTTTTACAGGGGTTTTTCCAGATGGGCCCAAATCGTCAGAGCTAGCAAAAAAACTAGCTCAGGCCTTGGTGTACAGTCTCTGGAAGAACGTTCGATTGTGGGAGACGTGTCAGCAGTATCAAAGTGAGAACTGAATGATTGAGTAGGGAGAGAGTACAGGCTTATATACCTAAGTGTTGTACCCTCTAAGAGGTGGCCCTATACAGTCTATGCAAACATAGGAAATACACGTGTTTGACACACCCCCTAGACTGCATAGGGGCAGGTCCTGAACAAGCAGCTCAGGGCGGCACTACTAGTCCAGCCTCTGAGACAAGGGTCTAAAAGACCAGTCAGAAGGAGTACAGACAAGGCAAGAACAAGACCAGGACGGCACTACTAGTCCAGCCACTGGGAGAGGACACAAGTCCAGTCTGAGTACGCATACAAAGGACAGTACAAAGTCAAGGCCCTAGCAAGTGAGAGGCTAGAGGAACTAGACCAAGCTGTACACAGTGCCGCTGATGATCTTTAGGCGCAAGCGCCTTCGTAAAGATATCAGCTGTGTTGGCACCTGAGGCCAAGTGTACTACGCGAGCCTGGCGTCGCTGCTGTAGCTCGCGCAGGAGGAAGTACCGCAGCTGAATATGCTTCGCTCTGCCCTCGAGTCCAGGCTCCTGACACAGGAGGATCATGGCCCTGTTGTCAGCGAACAGGACCGGGGCAGAGCTAGGCTGCTCACCTAAGTCAGTGAGCAAGAAGGTCAGCCAGCGGAGCTCCTGTGCCACCATGGCACCAGCGTAGATCTCGGCCTCACAGGTGGACTGGGCAACAAACGAGGAGCGGGTAGCTCTCCACGAGACGGCACCTGAACCAAGGCTGAAGCAGTAGCCCTGGGTAGACCTGAGTGTCTCGTTGTCGTCTGCCCAAGAAGCGTCTGTGTGTCCAGTAAGGACCACTGGCCAACGTCCTCCTAGCACTAACCCCATGCCTGATGTACTAGCAAGATAACGCAAAACCCTCTTAGCGGCCGACCACTGCTGCGGTCGGTGTCTGCCAGTGGCCACAAAGCGGGCCAGGATGCTGAGAGGGTATGCGAGATCTGGGCGAGTGCAAGTCATCAGGTACATGAGGCAACCCACTAGCTCTGCGTAAGGACCACTGGGCTCTGCCGACTCCTCAAGAACTGGAGCGGAGAGTCTGTGGTCTACAGGCAGAGGGGTGGGCTGTGCAGAGGAGAACTGAAGGCCGAACCTCGGAAGGACCTGGCGCACCAAGTGTGACTGAGTCAGGGTGATGGTGCGCGCTGCTCTGTCCCTGGAGATCTGCAAGCCAAGGTAACGGCGCAGTTCTCCAAGGTCAGTGCACGTGTGTCTCTTCAGCAGCTCCGCCTTCAGTGAGGCCAGTGCGTCCCTGTCTGCTGTGGCAAAGACCAGGTCATCGACGTAAACAAGGATGTAGAACGGAGTCTGGCCAGCACGAACGAAGAGTGAGGGGTCTGCGGAAGAGGGAAAGAACTGCAGGTCAGCAAGGGTAGCACGCAGCGTGTCATGCCACTCACAGGGAGCCTGCCGCAGGCCGTAGACGGGGCGCCGCAGGAGCCACTGGGTCCCAGGAGGGAAGGTGCCAGTAAAGCCGTGAGGGCAACGCAAGTAGACCTGCTCATGTAGGCTGCCCTGAAGGAAGGCAGTGGAGAAGTCGAGGGAGTGAAGCTCGTAGTCACGCTGAGCAGCTAGGTGTAACAAAACCCGAAGAGTAGTCATCTTCGGGGTCGGAGCGAAGGTCTGGAAGAAGTCCACCCCCTCACGCAGACTTAAGCCTCTAGCCACGTAGCGCGCCTTGAACACAGGCGACTCTCCAGGAGGGCGCTTCACCTTGAAGAGCCAGCGGCCATCGACTACGTTCACCCCAGGCGGGGGAACTGCGTCGACGAAGGTGCCGGTGGATCTCCAAGATGCCATTTCCTGCTCCATGGCAGCTATCCACTGCGAGGCCCAAGGTCCCGAGGTCGCCTCAGCGTAAGTGCGAGGGGTCGGGATGTCGAAAGCGTCTGGGTCACCCTCAGGGACTAGCAGCATGGAACAGAGATGGGGAACAGCCTCGGACAGGAAAGCAAGCTCAAACTGGCGGTCCTCCAGGACGTCACTGCCGAGGGCAAGAGCACCCCTGACAGACGGAGGACAGGCAGGGTCAGAGACCAGAGCGGTGGCGTAGTCAAGGCGGCGGGTAGAGGCGAAGTCAGCGATCACAGCGACAAGAGCGTCAAGGCACGAGACCGGAACAGACGGGTCGGTAACGAGAGAGGCGAAGACCCGAGGAGCAAGAGGACGAGCGGTACGAAGGTAGTCAGACAGAGGAGGAGGCGCAACGGTAAGAGAGGACGGAGGAGGCGACGGTAGAAGGGGAGGACGAGACGCGTGAGAACGGAGCAACATAGGGTGAGAGCGCGGGACAGGGGGGACAGGACGAGCGCGAGAGGGACGGCGGGACCAGACGTGAGACAGAGGCGTCGGGTCAAGAGACAGAGGAGGGGACACAGGGGGGGAACGAGGGGGAAAACGAGCCGGGGACGAGTCCGGCGGAGGGAACACAGGGCCGTAGACGGGAAGAGGAGGAGACGGCCGGGGAGGAACAGACGCAGGGTCAGGGGACGAAAGGCCGAGCAGGCGAAGGGCTGACATCGGCGGGGACTGCTGCTGCGGCGGCACAACGCCGACATCGGGACCGCAAGCTGCTCCTCGGCTACCACCGGCACACTCCACGCCAGCACCCCCAGAGGGAAATCCCCCAGGGCTCGAAACCCCTCGAGGACCGTACCACCCCCAGGGCTACCGGGACTAGCACGCACTCCAATGCGAGCACCCCCAGAGTCAACGAACGGGTGCTGCGACGGCGGCGGCGGGGGCAGCGACAACGACGGCTGCGGCGGCGGCGGCTGAGGTGACAACGGCTACGACAGCAGGGGCGGCGGAGGAGGGGACTCCTGGGGAGGGGCAGCCGGTGAGGACCGAGCCGCAGGACCACCTGAGTCAGAAGACTCCTCAACCGGGACCACCGACGGAAGAGGGGTGACGTGAGACACACCAAAGGGGGCAGGACGGGGAGGAGGAGGGGGGGGGGCAGGGACACCGGGGGGGGAGTGACCAGGAACAGGGGGGGGGGTAACCGGGGGACCGCGATGGGGGAAGCGACGGTAGAAGGAGACGGACTCGTCAGAGGTGACGTTGCGAGAGTGAAAGAAGCGGTGAGACGGCGGGTGGTAGAAGTGCCAGTCGGACGCGTCAAGGGGAAAACCGGGGAAGACGCAGGGAAGGGTGCGGGCAGTGAGCTTGTCCGTGCTGGAGGCACGGACGTGAGCAAGGCAGCCCCAGACATGGAACGCAGACGCGTCACCAGGAGACCCAGTCCAAAGACGGGTCGGCGTAACCTGCGGCTGCTGAGGGTGCGGCCACAGGTTAAGCTGGTGAGAAGCGTAGCGCACAGCGAACGGCCACAGAAAATGGGGTGCACCGCCATGGATCATGGAGGTGCGAGCCACCTCCATGACCAAACCGATGCGTTGCTCAGCGACCCCATTCTGCTGTGGGGAGTCCGGTAGGGTGAACGTCTGGGTGATGCCCTCCGCACGACAAAAGCGGCCAAGGACACCTGAGGCAATCTCGGCACCACGGTCGGAGTGAAGGCGCAAGACAGGGAGACCTCGGTGGACACGGGCATAGACAAGCCAGGGGATGAGAGCGTCAGGCACGTCGGCCTTCTGCTCCAGGGGAAAGACCGAGGTGTAGCGAGTGAAGTCGTCGACAAGGACAAGGAAGTAGCGCTCTCGACGCGGCCCATGGACGGGGGCGGGGCCCCAGACGTCCATGTGCAGGGTCTGCAGCGGCGCGGCGGTAGGGGGAAACGAGGAGGAGTGAGGGGCACGGCGAAGTCGACCCTCGACGCAAGGCGTGCAAGGTGGGGCTGGGGAGGAGGGAAAAGCGGGGAGAGAACAAGGGAGACCAAGGACGAGATCGTGCTGGGACATGTGACGCAGACACGGGAGCGCAGGGTGACCTAGGCGGTGGTGCCAAAGGAGAGTCGGGTGAGTGAGGGACCGACAGGAGCAGGCAGCAGCAACCTGGGTAGACGCAGCCACCTGAGGGGGTGCCCTAGCCGGGGGGGTCACGGTGTCCAGAGTGAACAGGCCGGACACCGGGTCCCGGGGGAACGTGGACAGGGGGGCACCAGTGGCGGCCTCGGTACAGACATTATACCGCTCGTGACCAGGGAACGTAGTGGTGACGCCAAGGTCGTGGAGGCAGCTGACACCAACTAGGTTCCTGGAGAACGAGGGGATATGCAGACCTGTAAGAGAGCCCAAAGGAACCGCCGGACAGGGAAGGGTGGTGGAACTGCGGGCGACTACCGTACCGCAGGAGGGGTCAGCAAGAGAAACGGCAGCAGGAACAGGAAGCGGCGTCAGTGTAGTAGAGTCGCGGAAGAAGCACCGGGAAGCGCCAGAGTCCAAGGTGAAGGAAAGCGAAGCAGTGGCGTCCGGCGACGGGGCGACGACGGAAGCACCAAGGCTAAACAAAGCAGGGGATCCTATGCCTGACGCAGCAGGG